TTTTCACTCCAGTACGCCACTATAGACCACGCTATACACACCATCATCACAGCTGGCATAGGGGCTTGGCTCAGTAAAACTGACTGTGTCAATGCGTTTAAATTACTACCATTCACCCGTCACTACGGCATCTGCATGTTTTAAATGGAAAGGAGTCTATTATTTTTCACAAGACTCGCGTTCGGAAAAAAAAAACAGCCCAAAAATATGACATCTTTACCGAAACCTTAAGTTGGCCGCTGTTAAACTTGCAGAGGCCAGGCCGTTATACATTATCTAGATGACTTTCTGTTCGTGGTGAATAATTCCTCTTCCCCCAGTGATCTGACAAAGGCCATATCATATTTTCATTCTTTGGGAGTGCCAGTGTCCCCCAAAAAAACAGAAGGCCTGACACGTTAGTAAATTTCCTAGGTATCCTGCTTGATTCAGTAAACATGGAAGCGAGCCTACCTCCAGGTAAATGTGACAGCATACTACAATCCATTAACAAATTTTTGGTCAATAGGACATGCAATAGGAAGGAATTGCAATTTTTGTTGGGATCATTGAATTTTGCTATACGAATCATTCCGCAAGGCAGGGCCTTTGTTTCTAGACTCCTTTGCCTCCTCCCTCTCATACCAAATGACGTTACTTGTATCAGCTTGGAGGCACAGGCTACAGCTGGTTTGCTAATGTGGCGCAAATTCTTGTTGCAGTGGAATGGCAGAAGCATGTTCTTGCCTCCATTGTGTGTCCACTCTCCGGTCATTTGGACAGATGCGGCAGCATCAACAGGTTTTCTGCCATATTTGGAAACGAGTGGCTTTGGGATGCTTGGCCAGAGGAGGTACAGCACATTGAAGGCTTCTCACGCACCTCGGCCTTATTTGAGATATACCTGTCTTGGGCAGGTAGCTCGGTACGCTGTTTTTCCGACAACCAAGCTACCTGCCACATCATAAACAAAGGCCGTTCTGAGTCTCTAGCGATCATGAGATTCATGAGAAGACTGACCTGGCTGGCTGCCTGCAATCATTTTTATTTGGTGTGTTCTCATGTACCAGGGGTCTTTAATACTGCAGCTGACAAGTTGTCTCGCTTTGAATTCCAGGCATTCAGAGAGACGTTAGCCATGGCCTCCCCTACAGCCACTGCAGCACCACGTTCTCAGGAGCTGGTGATGGACTGAAAGAATTGGCAAGGCATAGTCTTGCCTTGGCTAGTCTAGCCCTGTCCGACAATACTAAACGGTCTTACGATAGGGCCTTCAAACTATACAAGAGGTTTATGATAGAACACAACTTGGTGCAGTTTTTTGCCATTTCCACACGGGTAGCTTTTGTTTCGTTTTGTCATCTAAAACTCAAACTGTCACACAACACCATCAAATTATATTTAACCGGCATACAACACCACATGTATACCTTATACCCAGATAACTCTAGTTTCTTATCTTCTTACCCCATTAAAAACATTCTTAAAGGTGTACAGAAATCCAGTAGCACTCCATCATCAACAAGATTACCAGTACATAAGCAGCTATTTAAGGATATGTCCGACTTGTTAGACACGGCACCATTTGAACACTATACAGACACGGTAATCAAAACAGTCATCTACTTGGCATATTATGGTTTTCTTAGACCTGGCGAGTTTACCATACACGGACATAAATACACACAAAACTGCCTCAAACGTTCCGATCTCACCAAACTACATGATCACTATATCTTGTCACTATCAGTTACGAAAACAAGCCAGCTGAGCAAGATAGTACCAGTCACATATTATCCTACTGCAAACAGATGGTGCCCGGTGAAAGTACTGGATACATACCTCCACTCATTACCACTGCAGTCTGACATCCCGCTGCTAGTCTAACACAACAAGGTCTTAACAACAGCCAAGTTCATGCAATACGTCCGCATGTTACTGAGCAGACTAGGTCTGAACGCTGGCAACTTTTCTGGCCATTTATTTCGGATAGGGGCAGCCACCACAGCCTCCAGCCAAAATATTCCAGTACATGTAATCAAGTCTTTAGACAGCTGGAAGTCCTCAGCATTTGCTTTGTATATACCTCAACCTGTGTTAGAAATTAGGGCGGCTTTTATTACACTGTCATCTTGAGGTATTTTCTTTGTACTATGTTTATCTATGTAATATTTTCTTTGGCAAACACACTGCTTATTTTTGCCCTCTTTATTACAGGCCTACCGCATACGTCATTTTTCGGCACACTTTAACCGACTTGTTCATACCTATGGTTACACCATACTATACATACGTTACGTTACAAGAATAGCACCGAACACTAATGTAAAGAATAGTGGGTGGTAGATTACACAAACTGGAGAATCACAATTTAATATATACACAAAATACAGACACAAAGCAATTATTTAGAATACGCAAACAGGATAAACTAAACCAAAAATAAGTCACATACGCCATAAAAGGATTAGAGTAAAGGTGTACGAGTACTGTAAACATGGGCAATGTGACTTTATAAGGCAGCAAGGTACAATGTAAGAGTCACACTGACAGCGACAGTAGATTTACCATCTCCCCATTCAAACTAGCTTATAGAAAGATTTCATAGATTTCATAAACGTTTATTAGGATTCCTTTTACATCCCGCTCTCTGCTCCACAGTGTATATATCAGCATCCTTCCAGTACCCAGACTGCCCGCTACCTCCCCTGCTACTACCCAGACTGCCCGCTACCTCCCCTGCTACTACCCAGACTGCCCACTACCTCCCCTGCTAGTCCCCTGACTGCACACTAACCCTTCTACTAGTACTCAGTGCCCGCTACCTCCCTTCCAAGTACCCTGACCGACCACTACCTCCCTTACTAGTACCCTGACCGACCACTACCTCCCTTACTAGTACCCTGACAGCACACTAACCCTTCTACTAGTACCCAGTGCCCGCTACCTCCCTTACAAGTACCCTGACCGCCCACTACCTCCCTTACTAGTACCCTGACCGCCCACTACCTCCCTTACTAGTACCCTGACCGCCCACTACCTCCCTTACTAGTACCCTGACCGCCCACTACCTCCCCTTACTAGTACCCTGACCGCCCACTACCTCCCCTTACTAGTACCCTGACCGCCCACTACCTCCCCTTACTAGTACCCTGACCGCCCACTACCTCTCCTACAGCAGTCTGCTTGTTACCAATCCTACCAGAACCCAGCCTGCTCATCACCAATCCTACTAGTACCCTGATTGCCCACTACCTCTCCTGCAAAACCCAGCCTTCTAGTTCCCAATCCTACTAGTACCCTGACCTCTTACCAATGCCCAGCTAGCTACATTTTCTACCATTCAGCCAGTTTCTGTCTCACCAGTGCCCACACCCTCCCCTACTCATTCTCTTTCAGCTGCCCCAATCCCATACCCAGGCTCCTGCTTCTCTCTCAGTCTCTCTAAAGACCCGATGGACTCATCCTTTATCTCCAAAGTCAGGCTGCCCCAATCCCATCTCATGGATGCATGCTTCTCTCCCCAATCCTTCATCAATCTGTCTCTCTAAACCCCTTGTAGGCCCCTTCTTCATCTCTAATATCAAGCTGCTTTCTTCTCTATCTGCAATGCCCAGTTTGTTGCCTTATCTCTCCCGCCAATTACCAAGACAATGCCCCTCTAACCTCCCATGCTGGCTGTACCTTCTGAAATATTGTCGGTCCCTGTGACCCCAGGTCAGACCCTAAAAATTCCAGGCTGTGCTTTCTACTGCCCATATTGTATCCACTGGTTCCCAGGGTGTAACTTGTAACGTCTAGATATTATCCACTGATGCCCATACTGAACCCTTTAAAGTCCAGGCTGTACCCGTGGCCGTACCCGTTAACGCCCAGACTGGCCCCGTGGCCCCTGGCAGTCCCCGCTAACGACCACCTGTCCCCGTGGCCCCTGGCGGTACGTGCTAACGCCCAGACTGTCCCCGTGGCCCCACCCGCTAATGCCCAGACTGGCCCCGTGGCCCCTGGCAGTACCCGCTAACGCCCAGACTGGCCCCGTGGCCCCTGGCAGTACCCGCTAACGCCCAGACTGGCCCCGTGGCCCCTGGCAGTACCCGCTAACGCCCAGACTGGCCCCGTGGCCCCTGGCAGTACACGCTAACGCCCAGACTGGCCCCGTGGCCCCTGGCTGTACACGCTAACGCCCAGACTGGCCCCGTGGCCCCTGGCTGTACCCGCTAACGCCCAGACTGTCCCCGTGGCCCCTGGCTGTACCCGCTAACGCCCAGACTGTCCCCTTGGCCCCTGGCTGTACCCGTGGCCCCTGGCTGTACCCGCTAACGCCCAGACTGTCCCCTTGGCCCCTGGCTGTACCCGTGGCCCCTGGCTGTACCCGCTAACGCCCAGACTGTCCCCTTGGCCCCTGGCTGTACCCGTGGCCCCTGGCTGTACCCTTCGCAGCCAGACTGTCCCCTTATTTCAAGCTGTACCGTGGCCCCTGGCTGTACCATGCGCCAGACTGTCCCGTGGCCCTGGCTGTACCCGTGGCCCCTGGCTGTACCCGCTAACGCCCAGACTGTCCCCTTGGCCCCTGGCTGTACCCGTGGCCCCTGGCTGTACCCGCTAACGCCCAGACTGTCCCCGTGGCCCCTGGCTGTACCCGTGGCCCCTGGCTGTACCCGCTAACGCCCAGACTGTCCCCGTGGCCCCTGGCTGTACCCGTGGCCCCTGGCTGTACCCGCTAACGACCAGACTGGCCCCTCGTTAACGCCCAGACTGGCCCCTCCCCCTGTGGCCCCTCCCCCTCCCCGCTGGGCCCTCCCCCTGCCCCCTCCCTCCCTGCCCGCTGGCCCCTCCCCTCCCTTGTTGGCCCCTCCCCCGGCCCCTCCCTCTGTCACTGACCGTTGCGGGCGCTGAGGGCTCCGTCCTGCCGGCTGCACCATAGGGCGCTGGCCCCTCCCCCTCCCTTGTTGGCCCCTCCCCCTCCCTCGTTGGCCCCTCCCCCTCCCTCGTTGGCCCCTCCCACTCCCTCTGTCACTGACCGTTGCGGGCGCTGAGGGCTCCGTCCTGCCGGCTGCACCATAGGGCGCGGTCCCCGCTCTGGAGGATGTAATGGTCCTGGGCCTGGAAGAGCTCCATGGCGGCCGGGCGCGCGGAGCAGGTGGGACTCGCCATGTCGGGCTCGGGGCGGGGGGGGAGATCCGGCTTCCTGCGCTCAGCTCCCACACCGCACTGACAGCTCCCGCCCAGATGGTACATTCCGAGACACGCCCCCTCTGTGTTCCTATTGGCTGCTGCAGGGGTGCGCGTGCCCGCTGCGTTAGTCACGTGTCGGTGCCATGACGTGAGTTAGCGCTGCCACCTGGCGGCCACAGGGAGACACTGCAGGCAGCGAGTAATGGCGTCAGCTGCTGAGCCCCCAATAGCAGGTCAATACACAATTATTATCATCAATTATTATTAATTAAATATTATTATCAATTATTATTAATTATTATTATTATTATTATTATCAATTATTATTATTATTATCAGCTGAGCCCCCAATAGCAGGGGGACACAATTATTATCATCAATTATTATTAATTAAATATTATTATCAATTATTATTATTATCAATTATTATTATTATTAATTATTATTATTATCAATTATTATTATTATTATTATTATTATCAATTATTATCAGCTGAGCCCCCAATAGCAGGGGGACACAATTATTATCATCAATTATTATTAATTAAATATTATTATTATTAATTATTATTATTATTATTATTATTATTATTATCAATTATTATTAATTAAATATTATTATCAATTATTATTAATTATTATTATTATTATCAATTATTATTAATTATTATTATTATTATTATTATTATTATCAGCTGAGCCCCCAATAGCAGGGGGACACAATTATTATCATCAATTATTATTAATTAAATATTATTATTATTATTAATTATTATTATTATTATCAGCTGAGCCCCCAATAGCAGGGGACACAATTATTATCATCTATTATTATTAATTAAATATTATTATTAATTATTATTATTATTATCAATTATTATTATTATTATTATCAGCTGAGCCCCCAATAGCAGGGGGACACAATTATTATCAATTATTATTAATTATTATTAACTATTAATTATTATCAGCTAAACCCCCCTCAGAGCCTCCAATAGCAGGGGCACAGTGATTATTAATTATTACTATAAATATTATTAATAATATAGCGCCATCAGATTCCGTAGCGCTGTACAATGGGACACAGTGATTATTATTAATAATATAGCGCCATCAGATTCCGTAGCGCTGTACAATGGGACACAGTGATTATTATTAATAATATAGCGCCATCAGATTCCGTAGCGCTGTACAATGGGACACAGTGATTATTATTATTAATATTATTAATAATATAGCGCCATCAGATTCCGTAGCGCTGTACAATAGCACACAGTGATTATTATTAATAATATAGCGCCATCAGATTCCGTAGCGCTGTACAATGGGACACAGTGATTATTATTAATATTATTAGTAATATAGCGCCATCAGATTCCGTAGCGCTGTACAATGGGACACAGTGATTATTATTAATTATTACTATAAATATTATTAATAATATAGCGCCATCAGATTCCGTAGCGCTGTACAATGGGACACAGTGATTATTATTATTAATATTATTAATAATATAGCGCCATCAGATTCTGTAGCGCTGTACAATAGCACACAGTGATTATTATTAGTAATATAGCGCCATCAGATTCCGTAGCGCTGTACAATGGGACACAGTGATTATTATTAATTATTACTATAAATATTATTAATAATATAGCGCCATCAGATTCCGTAGCGCTGTACAATGGGACACAGTGATTATTATTATTAATATTATTAATAATATAGCGCCATCAGATTCCGTAGCGCTGTACAATGGGACACAGTGATTGATGTGTTTTCTGGGGGCCAGGTCACCCCACATTATTATTATTTATTTTTTTCACTTCTTTTTCCTTTAACAAATACTTTACAAAAGACTTTGCAGAAAAAGAAAGACATTTTCCCCTTTCCTTTATTACCCCCCCCCCCCATCCCTTTATTCCTCAGTCTATATTAATTAATTAATTTCAATACATTCATAGATTGTTATGTTTACATTCTTCCTTAAACATATAAAATAAAGATAAATGTTCCCTGAACCCCCCCACCCTCTGCTGTCAATCACGGAGTACCACCCAAACATATCTTCAATAAACTTTATATGTTTATATCTTTCTTTTAACCTCTTCTGCTGTGGCTCGATTTTCCCAAGAATGAGCTCAATGTTGTGTAGCTCTTTTTTTGTATCCACAAACCTCTCTCCATTTTTAATTGATGTATCAGTTGGTTCTCGACTTCCTGCCATATAGGAGAATCAATTTTCCAAGGCCTGGCTATTACAGTGAGAATATTTATAACAAAATCTCTGTTATGCTTTGACCATAAAGCCAATCCTATATGTAACAAAAACAATTCTGGACAAAGAGTAACTGTCTGACCAATAAAATATTTCATTTTGATTCTCATCATTTCCCAGAAAAGCTATATCGGTGGACATTGCCACCATGTATGCATCTAATCTCCTATTCATACCACATCTCCAACAATTATTAGGTACTAATGGGTATAGCGTAGATTTAAAAAAAAATCACCTATTCATAATTTTATAATTTGTTTTTTTTTTATATTTAAGTGTTCTTGCATAGCAAGACCACTTAATGTTATCTCACATATATATTATTATTATTATTATTATAGCAAAATTTGCCACCCTAACTCCTCCCACAGTTTTACACTACATAGACCAAAATTTACCAAAACGTGCAGATTGTTCCCGATCGGATTGCTATTACTTTGTGGAACGTTTCGCCGAATGGTTCACGGAATATCGTCGTTCTTGTGACGAAATTTGTCCCATAGGAATGAATGGCAAAGCTAGAGTGGGAGCTGGCAAAAGCTGAAAAATCAGGACATTATTTCTAAACTGCCACCACTCCCTTATTTTCAGGCCCACCTACACAAATCTTATATCAAAACGTTCAGCTATCCCTGCTGCCACTAAACATGCCAACGGCTAAGCCGTAGTCCTGATAGTTTTCACAATATAATCATTTGTTTGCAACTAACGCCGTCCATTGACTTTCATTGAAACTTCACTCTGCAAAGCTCAAATTTGAAGTGCAATTTCTAAACTGCGACTGTGCCTTCAATTTTACTACTTCAGAGACATACTATGCATCAAAATGTAGGTCTGGGTCTTGTGATTCTCACAATATAAAGCTCTTCACTGTAGGAGTTATAGTTTTTAAGATACGACTGTTTGAAGATGGCAACCACCAAAATACTCTGACCTGTGTCAAGCTGCAGCAGCAAGTGATGTCATAGACAAGGTCTTTTGAACACCTGCTAATGTTTTTATAAATGTATGGTTTAATGTAACTGTGCAACAACGTTGCAATTAAATGTGCTATGTAAATGATAACAGTTACTCCGCCCACTCCAGTTGTAGACTACTGGTGGAGGCAAGAACACTTCACACAATTTCCCCAGAAATTGTAGCTTTCTAGTTATTATTATTCTTATTCTTATTCTTATTATAGCAAAATTTGCCACCCTAACTCCTCCCACAGTTTTTACACTACATAGACCAAAATTTACCAAAACGTGCAGATTGTTCCCGATGGGATTGCTATTACTTTGTGGAACGTTTCGCCGAATGGTTCACGGAATATCGTCGTTTTTGTGGCGCAATTTGTCCCATAGGAATGAATGGCAAAGCTAGAGTGGGAGCTGCCAAAAACTGAAAAATCAGGACATGATTCCTAAACTGCCACCACTCCCTTATTTTCAGGCCCACCTACACAAATCTTATATCAAAACGTTCAGCTATCCCTGCTGCCACTAAACATGTCAACGGCTAAGCCGTAGTCCTGATAGTTTTCACAATATGACCATTTGTTTGCAACCAACGCCGTCCATTGGCATTCATTGAAACTTCACTCTGCAAAGCTCAAATTTGAAGTGCAATTTCTAAACTGCGACTGCGCCTTCATTTTTAATACTTCAGAGACATACTATGCATCCAAATGTAGGTCTGGGTCTTGTGATTCTCACAATATAAAGCTCTTCACTGTAGGATTTATAGTTTTTAAAATATGACCGTTTGAAGATGGCAACCACCAAAATACTCTGACCTGTCAAGCTGCAGCAGCAAGTGATGTCATAGACAGGGCCTTTTGAACACCTGCTAATGTTTTTATAAATGTATGGTTTAATGTAACTGTGCAACAGCGTTGCAATTAAATGTGCTATATAAATGATAACAGTTACTCCGCCCACTCCAGTTGTAGACTACTGGTGGAGGCAAGAACACTTCACACAATTTCCCCAGAAATTGTAGCTTTTCTAGTCAAACTATGTATTACTTTATGAATATAGTTTAAAGAATACATCAAATCTTCTCTATCAATTAATACCTTTAGATCTATTTGCCATATTTCAAGGGCTTTTATATTTATACATTTCTCCTCCCCTTCTAGTAATCTACAACAATGTGCTAACAACCCCTTATTATTATCTTTTTGAAGAAGACCAATAAGTCTGTCTATTTGATCTGCATTCCCACTATAAAGATGTTTCTTAATATACCCCTTTACCCTCAAGTAATTGAAGATTTCAGTATTCGGCAAGCCATATTCTTGCTGTACTCGTCTAAAAGACTTTATTTCCCTGTGGACCATCATATTCTTAATACTTATTGTGCCTAAATCTTTCCATTTCCCTAATTTTATGTTTTGAATATTATATTTTAACCCCTTAACGCTGTTACGACATTCTATGCCGTCCCCATTAATATGGGCTGTGGCAAACCCTGCCACTTGAACTAATTCTGTGTGAATAGGTGTATTTCACCAAGGGTATACCCACACGAATTGACTTTCATGGTATTGTAATGTTTTTATTCGAATGTCTGAAACTACCGAACGGGAGACCACCCCGGGGTGGTCGTGTGTTTCCCATTAACAGAGTGATACATTGTTGCGAAGGGAATTAAGTACCTGTATGTGTGGCCACCATTTCGCCTACCGAACACGTGGCGGCGGCCATCTTACGCACGAACAGCGGTACTTGGTTGTCGAACGCCTGGAACTCAAACCGGGCATTCGACTAACCAAGCACCGCTAAGACCTCCAGCATGCTCCGACAATACGAATCGAACAC